CAGTAGAGGCATCCGTGCTGTGCATCTATTGTTTCACTCTCGCACCTCCTGACTCCGCATGTCGCACATGCGCTGATTGACCACTCCCGAGCATGCAATGTCAGCACCAACATACGATGATAGTACATCGGATACGTTGCACTTCAGCATTTCAGAAGTACAGACATATTACAGTACTTCACAAAAAATATGATATGATGTGACCCGTGGCCAACTGCTGCAAGAGCGGCGACCACGGTTATTGGTGGAAGGCACTTGCGGCTAACCATGCCGTGTCACCTAGAGCTGTACGATTCTTTGATTCGTTTTCATATGACATATACTTGAAAAAAAGTTGAAGTGCACAATTCTTGACGCTCTCGCACCTCCTGACTGCGCGTGTCCCACATGTGCGGATTAACAGCATCCTCGGCGGGGTCCTGTGAGCCAAACCACACCTGCAGCACGCCCGCGGGCGTCGTCGCCGCGTGGTACTCGGGGTCCGCCATAGTGCTGAGCACTGGGTCACACCTGCAACAAAAGGAGAAGCATCAACAGGGATAGCAGTTGAGCTCTGGAACAAAGAAAAAAGCGCTCAGCGAGGTGCTGCATGGCACTCGGGGTCTGCCATAGTGCTCAGCACTGGGTCGCACATGCAAGAAAGCGGGAGGGGCATGTGTGAGGCTGGAAGAATTCTGCTGAGGATTTCACCACCTGCAAAACTAGTGAGGGGCGTGATATGAGAGAAGATCTTTTGAGCACTGCAGCGATGAAGCAGGGCGCTCAGCAAGTTGCTGCGTGGTACGCTGGCCCGGCGTGGTGCTCAGCACAGGGCCGCACCTGCAAGACGCCCATATGAGATGCATGCGAGTACAAATGGTAGATGAGCACTGCTGCTCTTAAACAGCGACCAGCACGCTGCGGCACGATACTCGCGGTCTGCCATCGTGCTCAACACGCGTTCGCTCCCATCATATACGAAACAACACGCCCCAAGTTATCGCATGATGAAGCAGCGCTCAGCATGGAGTCGCTAACCCTAACCCTAACCTCAATTTTAGAGTGACCCTAACCCTCCCAACAGTAATCCTACACCTGAACCCTCCCACCAGTAACCCTAACCCCAATTTTAACCCTAGTGGGTCACGGCGCGGACATTGCCAACGATGAGCGGCCCTGAGTACGGGGCTGCGACTGCGCAGCGAACTTGCGCGTTGAGCGCTGCTGCACGAACCAAAGAAAGGCCTGTGCGCGCAACTGGTGACTCGTCGGCACGCTTGCTGAGCGCCGCAGCATAGTGGCGTGACGGTGTTCTGCCGTATCCTTACATTCCCTTGATCACAACGCCATGGCTACGGGGAAGGGGGGGAGGGCGGGGGGGGGGGGGGGGGGGAGGCGCTCGCCTGTCCTATGAATGTCTTCTACTCACGAGTGTAACTGATGCAAATTGGTGTCCACAAGCGCGCATCGCTGCAAATATCAGCTCACAATGTTGGTGCATGCGCGCCGCAATTAAAGTTGGTAAGGCAGCGCCGCGGCGGCAGCACCGGCACTCACCATATGGAGAGCTGCTGCTCCTGGTCGTCCATGAACCACCCGTACAGGATGTCCTTGCGCCACTACAGTGCAGCAGCGAGCAACGCGCATATGAGCGTTCCTCGATAGAGTTTGCAGTGCATCAGCCCATACATTCGTATCTATTGATACTGCAGATCAGCATGACCCAAGCGAGAGCGGTCGTTGCCTGTGACCTTCCGCGATGGCGGGACGAAAAGAGATAGCGCGCGTGGGGCACGCGCCTAGTGCGTCTTCAAGAGCGACTCTCGAGTCGTTAAGAGCGACGCTCCGGTGCACACAGCAGCAGCGCCCAACACACAGCAGCAGCTCAACACCGCCGCGCCCCATAGTAGGAGTTTGTGCATGTCATCATCGGCGCAACGGTACTGAGCACTGACAGTGAAGAGGCTGCAGCGGCTTGACCCGCTCCGCTGCGGCGCGGGCGCAGCGCTGTTCACCGCCCGTGGCAGGTATGGCTGTGTACATGCATACAGGTACATACATGCTCACATGGCGAGATGGTGGTATTTGGGGAAGACGACACTCCGTCACTCGTACTGTGCAGGTTCGACACGTTGGAGCGGTGTGCGCGGGCTTTAGTGCCACAACTTCAACTTTGGCTGCAGCGCTCCACGCTGCGAGGAGCGCGGGCCGCGGCGCGTCTCGCAACGCGGCGCGCTCCGTTGCGAGCGCAGCTGCAGTGCAGCTTATTGCTCGTGACGGGGGCGGTGCATATGTGCATCAAGGAGTAGCGACATTGCTGTAGTGCCACCACGACGCGTACTGTACATATTCAGCACGTGGAAGCAGTGTGCGGGGCTTTCTGTGGCACAACTTCAACTTCCAGCTTCGCTCGCGGTTCAGAGGCTTCCTGGCTGACGCGTTTGTGCTCAACAAGATACATCCAATACACAGCTGTGCACAGGAGGAGCGCATCAGACATGCCCAACACGATGCGGGACCTGTAGCGCTGCCTCAGACGCAAGGGTGGGAGACTCCTCTGTTCATAGGAGTTTGCTAGCCTAAGGGGTGCAGCTGCGGGTGCGGAGAAGCTGTACAGCGCGAGCGTCACGATCAACCTACCTCCCCAAAAAACAACTGCAACTCAACTGATGCTTGATCCGCGCTGCACCGCGCTCCCCGCTTGCATGAGATGCGCTAGCGTGTGCTGCCATCTCAGGCCGCGTGTCAGGCAGTGCACCATCAAGGGGGTCGCTGATGACGCACGAGCTGTGCAGATCACTTCGCAGCTGCAAAGTGTGGACAAGCTCATCGCACTAGAGTACTCCGCACCCCCCGCCGCATGACAGCAAACTTTGAACCGCCACCTTCGATGCACCACTTCAACTTCACTGCTGGCGACAGAACTAATGTACAGTCGTGACTCTATATTGCTCACCTTGTCAAGCTGCTTCCTCTCCTTGAGCATGTTTGGATCCCTGCTCCACCGCGACCTGCCCGCTCCCGAATGGCCGCCGCCGCTGCACAGCATGACTGCTCCGCTTGCTGCCAGGCCTCCCGCCGGCCAGTGCGCACCATGGCAATCGCCGTCAGTGCCAGAGAAAACCGCCGCCACGGCCAGCAGCAAGCGCGCCATTGCACATGGCGTGTGACGTTGACCGCAAGAGACGGGCTTCATGCTATCTGCAGGGCTTGAGAGTTTGAAGTAAATGCATGAGCCGCCAGCTTCAGAGGATCTGGTGCTGCTGCTGCTTTGCGTGTTCGCCTTTACGAGAAGTATCAAACTCTCAAAGACACACGTGCATGCAGCTCCATCAGGACCCAGCATGCCAACTTGTCGACGATTCTTGATGACAGTACATAGTAAGGCACACTGTTATGTAGGAACAGCCGAGATTTGCGCCTTTGTGCTCGACTGGTGTGTTCTGCCACTGTGTGAGGTCTATCTGGGCTTGAAAGTTTGTAGGTAGAAGCTTGAGCCACATGCATGAGCCACCGGTTTCAGAGAATTCGGCGCTGTTGCTTGCATCTTCGCAGCGTGAGCGTAATCAAGCTCTAGAAGACACGTCCATGCGGCTCTATGAATCCAGCATGCCAGCTTCTCGAAGATCCTTGAATAGCATAGTCAGGACACGTTCATTAGGAACAGCTGAGTGTTGCGCACCTGCGCTCGACTGGTGTGTTCGGCGACCTGTGTGAGGCGACGGACGGTGCTGCGCTGGCGACTGCCAGTCGGCGGAGGGTAACCGAGTTCAAGTTCAGTTTCAAGCGATGAAACTGTCAAAAGCATCATCGTTAATGAAGGCATTGCATCAGCCGTGCAGCAGCAATTGCAGAGAAACTGTGACAAAGGACTGCATGAACATTTACATTTGAAAGGAAGAGCGAAAAGAATCGACACAGTGGCCCCAGTGCCTTTCTCACGAGGCACTGGCTTCGCTGAGGGCGATGCACCTGCACTTAATTCGACAACACAACAGTCACTGCACATCGTGAAAACAATGAAGTCGGAGCTTGGCGATGACAACCAAGCTATCGCTACGACACACTGCTGAGGGCTGAGAATTGGCCAGACACGGCGCTCTCCATCGCCAAATTTGCGTGCCGTGCAGCAGCACTCGATCGGAAAGAATCTGATGTGCCGGACAGCCTGCATCCAATGGCGTAGAGGCAGCGTGGTGCTGCCACGCCGCCCCCCCCCCTCCCTACACAACTGCTCGAATCCCTACACCCCCCACGCGCGCTCGCAGCGCGACAAATCCACTATATACTACCCCTCCCCGTGCCGAGCGAAAATTGAGTGCTTGCCCTTCCTCCACCGGCCTGCGGCGGCAGTGCTCAAATCTCCTCTGTGCGCTCAAGGTTTGCGAGGTACTGCGTCTGCTCGCGCCCGGCGCCGAGCCACAGGCCGCGCGCGCCGCCGGCGCTGCCGCCGGCGGCGGCAGCAGCGGCGGGCCCTCCGCCGGCGCCGCCGTGCGCAGCAGCATCCGCCACTACCGGCTTGCGGCGGAAGACGGTGAAGCCGTCAGCATCAGTGTCAGGATCGAGGTCTGCGGCGGGCGCGCGCGCAGAGGCGCTGCTGCCGCCGTGGCTGTTGGCGCCGTTGGGGCTTGTGGGGTCGGAGGCGCGGCGGCCCTCCGCTGCTGCGCTGCGGCGGTGGTCGAGCTTTTCGGCGAGGTAGTCCTGCGCGTGCGGCGCGCCGGGGGCGGGGGGGTGGGGGGGAGCAGCTTTGAGCAAAAACAATGTTGAAAGGGCGTGGTTATTGGGTACGCCTGGGGGTGCATGTGGAGCCTTGCTCGTGAAGAAAAGGGGGTATGTAGGTGCACGGCGGGTGGCGTCTGAAAAAAAAATGCGCTACAAATTCGTAGGGATTTGAACCCTTGGTCTCTGCATCAACAGTCGTCGAGCAACTTCAACTTGGCGTGGATCTTGCTAGTGTATCCATCATCCTGCTGCAAAAGTGTGTGTTACCCTCACAGTCACAGCACCGCCAAAGAGAGAGCCGCAGGTGAGGCAGAATCGAACTGCTGTGTTGCGAAACACCCCGAGAGCTGAAATCTCGTGTGAGGACCACCCCACGTCACCCCTGCACTAATATTGGCATTGACAAGCAATGTGACCCAACGCCGCCAACGCAAAAATCTGCCATATTGCTCGCCACAGTTCACAGAGAGCCAGCGAGCATCAATTACACCGCAGAATGCAACAACGCTGAGCCAGCGAGTGTCAAATGTCCGCATATGTGATGGTCAGTCACAGCAGGCAAGCTGTGCAATTGCCCATTGTGAGGCGCCGCGCTCTGCTCAATGTGCTGGCACCGAAGACGTGCGACCTCATCAGCAGCACGCGTTTCGGCTTTCTTCTGCACGCCCCCGCCCTCACCTGCTTGGTGTTGGCGCACTCCAGCGACAGCGCCACGAGGCGCTGCTCGCGCTCCGCAATTGTGCGCTGCAGCCCCGCGTTGGCGCCCTCTAGCGCCGCAGCGCGCTCCGCCATCTGCGGCAACATCAGCCAGCGGCGCACGGCAATGTGCCATCTCAGTAAGCGTGCCATGCGAGGCGCAGAGCGATGTCATCAATGCTTTGAACACACACGCAGCTCCACCTAAACTGTGCAGACATGGGCGCAGATGGCTCCGTCCTCTGCGGTGCGAACAGGTTCATGTGTGTACGCAGAAAATGTGAATGCGATGCTGTGGATGCATTCATGGATATGTTGTGAGCCACTCTATTCCAGGCAATGAATCGGCGGCGCACATGCACGTGCTGTCTCTGTGCGCCCGCCGCGGCACCAGATGCGGTGCATCGGAGCGTCATCTGCTCGTGCACTTCAAGAGAAACTAGTGCATGTACTTCAAGAGCAACTAAGTAGTGCAGTCGCAAGGACAGACGCACCGGCGCGCGTGCGGTCATCGCTGGACGCTTCCTGCCGCAGCGCGCTCACCTTCTTGAAGCGCGCGCACTCCGCCGTCAGCACGGCGATGCGCAGGTGCATGGACGAGGTGTCCTCCTGCAACTTCGCGTTGGCGCTCTCCAACTTCAAGGTGACGCTCTCCGCGGCGTCCGCGCGCTGCGCCGCCTGCAAGGGGGCGCGGGCGCGGTGCGCTTGCAAGTTCAGACGCGCACGCGGAGGTGGCGACACATTGCACTGCCAACGGATCATGCTGCACAACATATGTTGGCGAGCGTGCTCACATGTTGCTGGCCTAGTAGAAGTGCACCTCGAGGCGACGAGCAGCACGGCCGCAACATTGAGAAGACCTGCTGGTTCATGATTCGTGCACACCGCGCACTGCGCGAGCCTCACTTGGTATGTGCAACAGCACGCGCATGCGCAGCACAGCGCTCAGCAGTGCTCAGCGCGGAACGCAGCCTGCACACGCGTCACCCTCGCGTGACTAAGCGCCACGAGCCCCAGTCGCGCCCCAGTCGCCAGCAACCGACAGCAGCGGATGCCAACCAGCCAATGTAGACCACCGCAACCGGCCTCGCCACATGCGCTCAAACGGGGACGTCGTGCGCGCGACTTGAGCTTCTTCGGAGTTCAACTGTCGCCGGGCCTTATTGCATGCGCTCAAAAAGAACATCACACGCGCAACATGAGCTGCCGCGAAATTCAACTGTCACAGGGCGACGCACCTGCTTGAACCCCTCGCACTCCGCCGTCAGCCGCGCCAGCTGCGCCTGCAGGTCCCGCACGGCCGCTGCCGCCGCCGCCGCCTCGCGATCGGCCGCGTCCACAGTCGCCGCGCGCTGCGCCGCCGCCTGCGCAGCACGAGCAGCAGTGCGAAGCACGACGGCGCAGTGAGAGGGTGACGTGCGATGAGCAGCCGCAGGCGGCGGGTTCAAACCCTAACCTGACCTATACCTGACCCTAGCCCTAACCCTAGTAGAGCGCGACCACTGAGCGTCGCCATCATCTGGCGTGCAGCAGCGCGCATACGGTGCGTCAGGGCTACATGAGTCCAGGGTGTTGTAGGTATCTGACTCCTCCAGTGCAGAAAACACAGCGCCTCTCGGGCAGGAGAAGCTGCGCTGTGCGAGCAGCGGCGCTCCGCGTACCGCCAGCAAGAGCAATGACCTCAGAGTCGCCCTTCAAGGGTCGCACCTGTGCACCCGGTGCGGCGTCGGCACTTGCATCAGCGCTCATACCCGCCAGCCTCTGTTCCAGCGCCGCTGCACGTGCCTCCGCCTGCTGCACCCCAACTTCAACATCTCAGATTCAAACTTCAAGGTTCGCACCTGTGCACCCGAGGCTGCGTCAGCGCTCGCGCCCGCCAGCCTCTGCTCCAGCGCCGCCGCGCGCGCCTCCGCCTGCTGCGCCCTCAGTTTGAGCTCCAGCTGCTCCACTTCAAGTGCCGCGGCGCGCTCCGCTCGCTGCGGTTTGACGCAAGAGGTTGTGCCAGATAGGGGCGTTTGAGAATGCGATGTGCAGCGCTCAGCACATGCAGCAGTCTGAGCTCCAGCTGCTCCACTTCGAGCGCTGCTCCGCTCGCCGCGAGAGATGGCGCCAAAAAGTGTGTGGCATTCGAGATGCATAGGCAGCACGACCGTGCCTCCATTGGCGGCCCACGATGGGCGCTTTTCTCATGCAGTTTCGCTGTGAGCGCAAAGAAGCTCAGGGTTCCACTTGCTCTGTCATGTCGCCAAGAAACAATGCTGTTCAGCACTTCAACTTCAACTCTGCCGCCACGCACCTGCTTGAGCACCTCGTTCTCGGCCATCATGGCCGCCACGTTGCCCTGCCGCTCGGACTGCACTACTGCCGCTCTCGGCGCCGGCTGCGCGCGCGCCGCCTGCAACACATGTGCAAATACGGACAATGGTACGTACATGTTACACACAATGAAAGCAACCTTCAAGGCCGCATGCTCTGAAGTACTGCACACTTTGAAATACTGTGCGTGCGTTGAAATTAAAACATGTATGCGGATAATGTTGCGCGGCCTCCGCTGCCACCTCAGGCTGCGTGCGCGCTGCCCGCAACATAAGTGCTCTACGATCTTTTGATTTGTTTTCACATGTGTTTGAGCCCGCAAATGCATAGACACGCGGTTCGACGCACCTGCTTGAGCGCCACATTCTCCGCCACAACAGCGGCGAGTCTGCCCTCCAGGCTCTTGGCGACAGTCTCCGCGGCGCCGGCGCGCGCCCCTGCTGCCGCTGCTGCTGCTGCCGCTGCCATCGCGTCGTCCGCCGCCTGCGCACGCAGCCAAAGACATGTTGAGCGCTGTCATGTGCCTGAAGGACCGAAAACGCGCGACGAGCAAGCGCTTTCAAGTGTCTGAAGGACAGTGTTCATGTGATGCCAGTCGCAGCGCGGTGCCGCGATTGCACGCTGACACGCGCGCGCCGCAGCGCCGCCGCCTTTGCAGCAGCGCTCAGCGCCCTGTGACCGCCGCCGCACACACGCTGCAGTGATAGCTACAGCTGTGGAAGCCATGGTCCTGCCCCTTGCCCTACGCCTAGCATACATGGCCCGGATCCTAATCCTAACCCTACCTCCACCCCACCCCTGATCGTCCCCCATCCCCCCTCCCCCCCGCAGCCAGCCAAATGGCGCTTTCATAAGGCGGAGGAGAAGAGCTGAGGAACGCACCTGCTCTAACTCGGCGTTCTTGGCGGCGAGCGCTGCCAGCTCGCCTCGCAGCTGACTCTCCAGGGCCCTCGCGCTCGCGGCAGCATCGCCGGCGTGAGTCTGCTGCGCCGCCGCGTCGGCCGCCGCCTGTGGCGTGCACGCGCGTGTGCGCAAGAGCGGTGGCGATGCGAATGAGCGATGCCGTGGGGCACTGAGGCAGTATACTAGGGTTAGGGTTAGCATTAGGTTCAGATTGATGCGGCGGCTGTGTCTGCCGCGCCGGTGCGTCAGGTGCCGCCTGCGCGCACGTTTCGCAGGTTGGCAAGTCGCAGCCGCGCTGTACGGGAGAGGAGCAGTGTCAGGGCTAGGGTTAAGGTGAGGCGGACGTTACGGGCGCGCCATGGCCCTATGTAGTCGTGAGTACGTACGCATGCTGTATGCCATAGCGCATGTATAGTGTGTAGGCATGCCGCATGTTATCAAGGCCGGTGGCCAGCCGCAACGGCCTCACGCGCATGGTGAGGGTGCGAGCGCGGCCTCATCATGACGGCGCTCTGAGCGCTGCTGCGGCAGCTGCCCGCGCTCGCTCAGTACCGAGAGCCAGCGGCATCCGCACTCCGCTCTGCCGCTTCCTTATGTTGTTGATGTCGATGTTGTAGCACGCAATCAGCAGCGGCGCCGCGGACGGCAGCAGCAGCTCATCCTCCCGTACCTGTGCCCATCCCCGCTTGACTTCATGACTTCAACTGCAAGCAAGTGACGCACCTGCGTCAGCCGCGCGTTCTCCGCCGCCGCCGCCTCCAGCCTGGCCTCGAGGGCCTCCGCTCGCGCCGCGGCATCGCGCGCCTGCGCTTCCGTCTGCGCATGGAGCGCTGCTGCGCTCTCTGCCGCCTGCAGTCGCGCGCACACAGACACGGGGGCGGCGGCGGCAGCGCACAGGAGGAGGGCGTTAATGGCGCGCGTGAGGTGCGGGCGGCGGAGCGCGCGTGCGTCGCCGTATATGACCCCACCAGGATCGGTCGCAGCATGGCGCAGTGTAGTCGAGGGTACACGGCCGGCGGGCTCCCTTTCTCCTTATCCTTTCACTATATCGCAGAAGCATAGTCCATGTACGTCCCGTCTTGGCTGCCTGGGCGCCGCACGCTCGACGCCATCGGCGCGGATTGCGGGCATCGCCTGCAAAGCAGCGCACTGCTGACAGCGCGCGCTCATGTCTGCAGTACATGCGTGTACACAGCGGTACACGTGTACGCTCTGTTGACAGCACCCACCCACCATGCCTGCAGTACACATGTATGAACAGCAGCACCTGTGCACAAAAACACAACTTCCTTCGAACCTGTTCCATCCATGCCTGAGGTACATGTGATTTTAACATGAGCTTCCTCCGTACGTACGTACCTGCTTGTGCGCGGCGCACTCCGCGGTGACTATCCATTCTTGCAGTACATGTGTACCAACAGCAGTACATGTGTATAAACAGAACTTCCAACGCACCTGCTTGTGCGCGGCG